ATCTCACCAACAGAAGCCCATGGAAACTCTCCAGGAGTGTCATGGGTGTTGAAAGTCTGTCGCTTCTTGGCTTTTTAGACTGCTTACTTCTCCCTGCAGTACTTCATCAATGATATACGGGATCCTGAAATACAGAAACTACAGCAAATGGTAGATGTCAAAGATCTAAAAAGCAGATCTCAAATCCAGCAGCCAATGGATCATATGACTGCTCGACTATATGCTTTAACCAGGCAATTCAATGCCTTACAGCAGAATATGAGTGGGAACAAACTAACCCAAAAATGCTGGAACTGTGGTGTTGAAGGCCATGTATGAAGGAGCTGCAGAACACCTAAAGCCTTACCTCAATACAAAGATCATAAGCTACAACTCTGTAAAATTTCATGATATTTTTATGGACACAAGAACAAACTGAGATTAAGTTAATCTATGAAAATCACTCACAATTAAACAGATATTTTTATTTTGCTCCCAACTACAGAAGTTTAGAATTTAAATTTTAGTATGCTTAACAATTAATCATTATGACCATACAATTATTTTTGCAGCATTGAAAAATCTGTTATAATTATGCACAGAAAGTTACATTATGGAAATGTAGGTGAATATAAGGAGACTTTATTGTTAAGCATTACTTTGTTTTACAGTTTCTTTTCAGGTAAATCAAATGATGGTCACATGACACTATAATTTCTTATTTCACAAACCTGAAATGTGTCCTTTTTTTTTTTTTTTTTTTCCCTTTATATTTCTTAACCCCTTAACTGCTGCGGAAAACGTACAAAATTCATTTCCCAGTGTCACGGTTTTTCACACAGGCGCACACAGTTATGCGATTTATTAGGGGGAAAACAAGTTTTACTTTCATAAAATAAAGAATAAAGAAAAAAATGAATGCACAAACTTTAATGTTTTGAGCAAAAGTATAATATAAAGATGTAAGTATAATAAAATGATGTTTTTATAATAAAAAAGATCCCTAAAATGGAGTTCGATCAATTCATTTTTAGACCAGTAAAGTGTTATATCAGGTTTCAGTGTTACACCTTGTGAAATCAGTATGCTTAAAAAAAAACATATATTTCTTCTGAACTGGTTGAATGCCAAGATTCTGTTCTTGATTTTTTATTTGCAAGGTGTTAGTTCATATACTCGTCTACAAAATGGTTAGTTTCAGTATATGAAGCACGAGATATTCATCTAAAAATAATTCAAAAAAGATAAATGGGTTTGAAACATCCATTATATCTTTCTTTATTCCTCAAACCTACTACAAAAAGTAAATGAAAACGGAGGACACAGAATAAAAAAAAAAATGTTTTACTCAAACATTTAATACCACGCAGTCATTACTTTCACCGTTTTTGACACATTCCTCTCTCCAATTTCTCCCTACACTTCTCTGATATAGTATCCTCCTTTGCATACTTTGTAGTATTAAGGTCATTGTGGTGTTGCATTCCAAGGCTTTGCTCATAATTTTACGGGTAGCAGAGCAAAGCAAATGATAGTATTTTTGAAGGCATATATATATGCAAATGAGTATTTTTGAAGGTGTATATATACCCACAGGGCAGTTAGCGCATCGGCTGAGCAAGGTGTATATATATACGCCTGTGGCAGTTAAGGGGTTAATCAAATTGTTAACTAATCCAATAAGTTGTAACCAACATTTTTATTTTCATTTCCTTAACTCTTATTTTCATTTTAAGGTTGTGATTATGACAAAGTCAACATCTTACTTCCTTTTCTTATTTTTCAAATTTTTAATCTAAAGCATGTATACTCTTCTAATTAATTTTACCATTTCCCCCTGGATGCATATTTTGAAATATAATTAACTATGTCAAAAGTCAAAAAAAACTTTAACAGGAGAAAAATTGTTAAAAGTCTCCCCTCCTTACTGTTTACTAAGTAAGTGAGCACGCACACGTCGTATCTTTTACGATATCCGTTATTTTACCGTTTTGGGCACGAAATACAACAGAAATGAGTGAATATTGATAATAAATTTTTGAAGAACTAAAATATTAATCTTATTATTGTAAAATACAAATGATACCACATTCAAATATAAGTAAATTATTTTTAAGTTCTTATGTTAGTGAGATGGAAATGCAATGATGTATTTCATTATAGAAAATTTTAAATTTATTATTTAATAAATTATATTTTAAAATTGAAGCTAATTTTAATATTCACCAAAGACAAGTATAGACAATATAAAAGGAAAACACCTTGGTAGGAAAAAAGTAAGTTTAGCATTACTTACTTCTGCAAGGACATTTACTTCTTACTGGTTACAAAAATGCACTTTAAACTAACTTTAATGCTTTTATTTGTTCCTAACAAACAGAAAGATAAAAGAAAAATAAGGAATGAAAATTGCTGTTGTTCTTCCATCCAAAGGTTTCCTTGTCTTCCTTTTCTTCATCAGATATTTCTTGAAGAATCAAAGCAAAATCAGCTAGTTGCGCATATTGTTTTGCCATTAAAACCGATATAAAATTTACAGAGCCAAATCATGACCACACACGTGTCAAATTTTATGAAAAAGCTGCCACATAGCACAAAAGCCCAGTTAAAAAAAAAAATCAAATGACTTCCTGTTGGCACATTCCATGATGTGGAAAAGGGTAGAAAGGAGGAATAGAAATGACCTTCAGATGTTTCAGCTTCGATGCGAAAAATATGCATTAAAAACTAAATTTGTATAAATAAACCAGATGTATAAACAAAGGTTACTAAATACTTTTATTACAGAAACATGATTCTTAAACTGATACAAATAAAATTCCTTATGATACAGTATGGAATTTTTCATATTAACCTATTACTTGAGGGTATAACCTTTATTCTTAAATATCAGAGGATTTGCTGCCCAGCCGGAATAGTGATTACTGATCCTGACTGCAGCAACAGGTGTTGCAATTGCTCGTCCACTCACAGGAGGCAATGGTGGCCACCTTTTAGGTGCTTACATGATGAAATGGCCACCACATCTGCCCCTTGTAGTGGTGCAAGGCTAATAGCTATTAAATAAAGCATCCGAGCATTAAAAAAAATCAGAGGATCTTGTTCTCAAATTTAAAATGCTAACTTTGTTTAATAAACTTTTACCTATTTAAAAAAATTTATTTATTTTCAGTTAATCCGGACCCGCAGATCACCAGCAAGCTTTTTTAAAATGCTTTATGCTTGCCCATTTGATATTTTTTCATAATAAGCTAATAAGCATGCAGAGAGTTCCAATTCTTAATTTCACTTTGGCACTGACAACAACCTGGCAAAACATTATTTATTATTCTTTGCTTTCATCACCTATGACTATGAACATATCGCAGCTTGAGAAATGACTCAGGTAGCAAAGTCTAAGCAGGTTTTATTTATTTATTTATTTATTTTTATTATTCATAACTAAACACCAAAGACAATGACAACCTTTAACGTTGAAATTATGCTTTGCAATGATTACAGACTTCAGCTCACTCAGCAAAAGCATTTAGTGTATTGACAAGAAACTTCAAAGAAACTTCTTTCCATATGCATAAGACAGATTTTATAAGTGATACGCATAAGCCAAAAGTTTATATTTGGCGCTCTTTGAATTGAGAATAACTGATTGGTTATTAAGTTAAATTCAGGACCGGTATCAGAGCTGGTACAGGTGAACCGGGCAGCAGAATTTACAAGAGGCAAAATTTTTATTTTTACAGAAGCACCAAGCAACAAAAATAAGTAATGGCAAAATCTTTAGATTATAGGGAGATGTTTGACAGTACAATTTTGGAAAGACTGCACCAGTTTATAAAATGTCTAGTGTTGGGCCTGTATAAGCCTTAAGTATATGTGGGATTTTATTTATTCTGGACTCAGCTAAGCATCAAGTATGTGTGACAGATAATCACATAAATATAATAAATGACACAAATATAGCAGATGCTTGCTAAGCATTATTATGATAGCCATGAATTTAATGATTTCAAATATCACAAACAAAAAGTGAAATTTTCCAATTAATGGAATTGTGGAGAAGTGGCAAAAGTAGAGATGATACCAGAAGTTTTTCATTGTGATGACAATGCCCCAATCATCAATCTGTAGTGTGGTTCTAAATCCAGAAAATATCATTACCATTAGAAGAGAAAGTCAAAAAGAGGCTGCCGAGAATGAAAAATTTTCAACTGACAATATTGTGGAAATTCTGAATGAAGCAATTACAAGACTCGAAGAATATAAATGAACAAGAAATTATATCTATCTATGCAATTGAAGAGAAAGTATTAGCACAAAATGTAATACAAATTAAAAAAAACTTATGTTGAAAGAACTGTTTAATTAAGAAAAAAATAAATATTAGGCCCTTTTCTAAGAAATTTGAATCCCCTTAAAGTCATAAATGCTTTATTATTTCTCAAATTACTATTATTTCATTTTTTCAATCTTAAAACTTTTATGTCATCTTACTAGATTTAAATTTACGATCTAATATCCAGAAAAATCTGAAATCCAGAACAGTCCCAACAAGTATGGATGTTGGACTTCGTACCACCTTTCCTTTAAAGATGAAAAGTCATTTTTACACAGCAGAATATTCAAGCCTTTATTGTTTTTGGATATCTAATGATTTGTCAGTGTCTTCAAGGGGTTGTGATATCAAACAACAGATATTAACATCACTTCTAGGGATGGTATCATGGATATAGCAAACTATCCAAGAGCAGAGAAATAGTTTATTGTCTTTAACTAATTAAACAATACATATTTTTATATTTTCATTTTGAAAGAACCATTTATTTCTCTACTGAAGACTATTTAGATAATCTCTGTATCATTTCTTCCCTAATATATCATTAATTTCAATAATTTTCTGCCAACTGAAAAGTCTACTATCAAGAATTTCTGAAATACAAGGTTCAGGCAAAGCATTAATGGGTTGCCCAATTCAGCTTAAAAAAGTATAAAGATATATATGAAAAAAAAGCATAAGAAATTACCGATGAAATTTTCATGTTTACAAAAGCACGAGTTCTCAGTTGTCCATAAGGTGGTGCATTGCAAGCATATGAAGAAAATACTAGTAACTGGTTGAAAATGGCAGGCAGGAGGGACACAAGATTTTCATTTTCATTTAAAGCTTCCTATTAGAAAATGGGAAAAGCAATTATTAATCAAATGTATAAAAAAGAAACAATTCATTTTAATAGCTAAATGTGTATACGACACAAAAGCATAGTACATAAATTAAAGACTGTTAACCTCTTCGTTGTCCATAACGGGTCTAGTGCGTTCAAGTGAAACTTCCGCAGGGCGGGCCGTAACGCGCCTCAAGAGTTCTCAAGTGGACCGCCTGGATCAGATGTTAGAAATAAGCAGAGATATTATTATTTTTCCATTATGCTTTATTCCCTTATAATTTTACTTAATATTCATTTACATTCAACCAGTACACTACAAAAGTCATGTATGGAAAGTTATGATGTACACAGAAAACAACATTACACGCTATGAAAAACAGACAGCCGCTGGGAGAAAAATTTTCGAGGACAGGAGAGGACGGCAAAAGGGTTAAAAGGAAAAGAAACTATGCATGTTTACACTTTCTTTTCCATATCAAATATAAGTAACAATACTTTCTGTGATAAAATTTTATCTGCATGCATTGCTAAATTTTTCATTTCTGATAACATTTTAAAATTTTAATGGCTCCTACACTAAAGTATTCATAACCTTTTGCATATACTGACTCCTTTACCTCACTAACATCTAACTGTCCAAATTTTGGCAAAATTCAAATTACAATTGACCTTCACTTTATATAAGAAAGTTAATGTACTTCAACGGCAACTGATTTGCCAGTGAATCTGAAAATGCAATCTTTTTCTACACAAATAATATCAATTTCAAGCATAATTTTTTAGTTTTGGATTATAATATTTCAGGCTTTTACCCATCCAGATAATGGAATTGGCTTGTTATATAAGGTTCCATAGATCCTGCATGTGTAATAAGCACAGCTTTCTCTTAGAATTTTCACAATAAGGACATTCTTCCCTAAGCTACACCATTCTCCTGTACACTTTTTTAATCTATCAATAAGCCAGTCACTCCATCTGAAGTTTATCTACAATTAAATCACAAACTGACATGTTTCCATTTCTTATACTGCTATTAAACTATTCTAATAAACAACAGATAAAGGGGAAAATGATAACTTATAATTGAACTTTAGGATACTGGATAACAACTCTTTCACAGGAAGAAGTAGAGAGGATGTGCCTAGCACAACAGCAAAGTCACTAAACAGTCACTTTTCTGCTTTTCCCTTGGAACTACTACAGTGGTGTTACTCATATAATTCTTGAATTGTCTTTCTTATAACATATGCTAAATATCATAATGTAATGCAGTTGATTTTCTTCATTTACATAATTTGGTTAAATTATCATCCTTATAAACGTGTGATCATTTTATAAAGTTTCACTTGTTTTGGTAGCATAAACTACTTATCAAATTCCTAACAGACATTAAGCAAATCTTTGCTATGTCTGGACAGAACTACAAAGTCTCAATTAAATTCAAATTTGAAATTAAAACAAGTCTAGTAGCCAAAGGCTACACAATTGCTTTAATGAAAAATTGGCTCAAACTTCTCAACTGTGTACCAATTTAAGTTTCGGCAACTATAATGAAAAGCCAAATAACACAATCTTATTTGAGCTAGCGAACAACTTAACAAAGTGGCTTCAAAGGGCAGAAACACTCTCTGTCTTATAACCTAACAACCTCAATTTAAATACTCAGTCTACTTTGCATTTTGACAAGGAAACTGAAGGTACAAGTGACAGTAAAGATTCAAAATATAAAATAACTAGTTAATGGTTTGGGTTTGGTTTATGTGATTACAGCAAAGCCTCGAGGACTAACGTCATAAGGGAAGAAACTCGCGTACTATCTTCCTAATGACTTTCTAAGGAAAACTGGCTCGTATACAAGTTACACATGTGGAAAACCATGAAAACACCCATGCAGCCAGCCCGTTCATGGGATTCGAACCTTGGACCTAACTACCCATGTTCAGCAATTTTACCACTCGGCTGCTGGTGAGCTAACAGGTTAATGAAAAATAATAGTAACCTTACACGCAGAATCATTCTGTTTACATCATATTTCAATTTTACAGAAAACTTAGACCATACTAAGCATGGTTTGATTTGGTTTATTTGATTATGGCAAAGCACTCTAGGGCTATCTGCCTAAGGGGAGAGTTGCCTTCGTGGAGGACTTTCTATGGAACACACTAAACATACTGCCATTCATCACTAATTTTGTTTATGACAAAGGTATCTAAAACAATTTGCTTAAAAGGTAAATTTTTTAGGGAAACTTTCTACCAGAAATTAATTTGCATTTGCAATACACATGGGAAAAGTGCAATAAACCCAAACCACTTAACCAATGGGAACCAAACATGGGATGAAATAACAGTGTGTTCCGGCATTATCAGTTTGAGACACAAAACTTTTGAAATCATGCAAAGGTATGCTAGCGTATATTATCACAGCAATTTGCTAAATTAAAAGACAAGGAGTTCGTTATTATTATTCAACAGTTATTTCACATACTGACCAGTGAAGACATAATCATACAAAAGAATAAAGAGAATCACCAATGTGGCAGTATTTTACAGAAAAATAAACTATATATGAAGATAGCAGCTCAATCTGTTGTGCCTATATCACACAACATCCATCATCCTGATTTTCAAATCAGCTATTACACTTTTTATTTAAAAGCAGAGTAAGTTTTCATGATAAAACTGGATTAAGGGGAAATAATAAGCAAAAATTAAGACAATGACTATATTGTAATTCCTATTCAAGTAATTTATATTTCATAAAAGGTATCCTCATGCTTTATTTTCTTAAATACTAGACCAGTGGTTGGAAATGATACATGAAACTCTAATGGGTTAAAAGCCAACCTTTGGTGCATTAGAAACGTTTTGAAATTCTTTTCTTCTCTTAATTAAATACCAATATTAGTTAAGAATTAACTTAAAACTATCAATTAGTTTTTAATTATTTTCTTATTACACAATTTCCTTCTAAAATTCTTCCTTTTTCCAGACTTAGTATTTTAAATGTATCCTATGACAAATTACAAACACAATGAAATACTGATGATGCTAAATGTTTGGGGAATGCACCCTAGACACACACCTTCAATCATAAAATTTCTTAAAATAAGATAAAGACTGTTATGAAAAGAATTTCACCACTGTGTAAGAAAGGGCTCTCTACAAATAAAATCTTAATTACTACATAGTGTGTGCAGACAAAATATAATATTTATTACATCTTAAGTTAAAAATAGTTTCCTATCTTTACATGCAAAATATGGAAAAACTAAGGAATAAATTTGTTGACTCCTGCTATTTTCCCATACCTGTTCGTGGCATAATTTAAGATTTTTGAGAAAAATTCAGGAACAGGAATAAGAAGAGACACGCAAATTATGCCACCATTGGAAAGGTATGGTCTCTCAATATTCAGGCAATAGTTACCAAACATCTCTCTTTACTCTTTTATTGATTGATGGTTCCTTCTTAGGTAAAACAACATTCATGAATGAATTTTTTTGTTTTAAATAAGAAAATCTTAAAAGTACTTTACTAATATTATTTTTAAAAATTTTTTTTGCTTCAGGAGCACAGTATAAAATGTTGAATTATATCATTATAGAATCCTCTTTCATATACCTGGGTGTCCATGATCAATATTTAAGAAACTAAATTTGTAACAAACCTTTCCCAGTCCCCTACGCAGAAATTTGGTAAATGAAGAATAATAGTTTCTTGAATAACAGTAATAAATAAGGTTGAAACTAGGTTAAATTTTGTAAAATGTGATAAACACACAAATTAGTTTCCTTTCATGTGCACTTTTTATTTTTTGAGCAGTTCAAAAATCTGAAATGATGACAAAACCTCTAAAGTAATCAAACTTTCAATACCCTATCAAGCTTTGCTATTTGTGAATGCAATCAGTTAAATCAAAGGAAAAATAACAAACCACACATAATAGTTCTAGTAATTTTTCATTAACTTCACCCTCTCCCTGCCAAAAGAAAATTAACTCGAAAATTCACATAAAACTAATTTTGCACTTTCCCTGTATCCAAATAACCTATTTCACCTTTTTACATAAAAATACAACAATATTTTCTTTTCTTTTTTTGGTTTTGAAATGCTGTGAAATTCTAACATTAGCATAATTCATTTTAAGAAAGACAGTTTTGATTGCGAAGGCTGAGAGAAACATTTTGCTTGTGAATGCTTGAAAAGAGGCATTATATATGGTACGTGCCTGACTTTTTGCAATGTGTGCAACTTTTGTTTTTATCATGACACAGGCTTTGCACTGAATTTTTTTTTTTTTTTTTTTTTTCCTTTTTAGGACCAAACAGAACAGCTTTTCTAATATAAAAAATTATCAAATTAAGTGTAACTGAATAATTTTATTTTAAACTGTTATAAAATATAATAAAATAACTAAAAATCATAAAAAATAACTTATTTTACTCACTGTTGTGAATAAAAGCAAAGAAATATAAATAGGAAATGAGCATCTAAGCCATTCAAATGAACATGTAAGTCCTGCCCCCTCAAAAAAAAAAGGAGTCTGAATACCCCCCCCAAAAAAAACATTTTTCAAAAGAAAATTCAAATTTTGGGTGAAAAACTATATATTTCACATAAAAAAGTTTTAAAATAGTACATTAGCCAAAATAATTACTACTCCTATGATACTTCAAAATAAAACTAAAGAGCTAAGAATTATACTAGAATGAGAAAACAATTAATTTAGTTACTTTTTACAATCTACACGCATACAGGGTAGTGATTTCTAAATTCCAGTATTAATTTCTGAAAGGAACTACACTTCTAAACAGCATGGTGACAGAAATGAATGAGCAACAGTTCACTAACTAATGGAAGGAAAATTATGGATTGATAAAATGGAATGAGCTGAGAAAAAGAATTTTGTGCAAAAAGATTGACATAGATCTTCTTTAGATTTATTCTGAAGATAGTCAATTTTTATTCATTTGTTACTATTTAAAAAAAATGTGACCTTTTCATTATCTGAGAGGATTGAACTACATAATTTTTTTTTTTTTTTGAACTCACTGATTTTTTTTAATTGCTTCAATTTTCCTTGACCTTATTGAGAATATCTTGCATTTTCACTTACTTTCCCTGCCTTTTTCAAGTGAATGAGGAATTTGTTATCCCTTTCCTCAGTTACGAATTATAAACTGAAGAAGAAACTTACTGCTGCCAGAACAACCCAAAAGACGTGCTTAAAAAAAGACGTGTTTTGTTCTCTTTTTTTTTTTTTAAATTTATTTTTTCACACTGCAAGTGAATGAGGGGGGGAAAATCAGGCATACAAAGTAAAAGTACAGGACAAGCTTTTCCTAAAAAAAAGTTTGGTATATAAACCAAAAATGTAAAGAGATTTTTACTGTGGAACTAACTCACTGTAATTTATTTCAAATTAACAGCAGCTTTTAAGATATTTCCTTTCATGCTAACGATAAAATCTCTATAACAGCATTTTTCTCATCCTTACATGCTTGACATAACGTGTGGCAGGGCAAGATCAAGCAAGATAATACACTTTGTGCGAATTTTGAATGGAGGAACAACTTTACTGCTAAAACGTGATTTGATTATTATTCTCCCCTGCTTTTAAAGCAAGGTTCAAAATACTTTCAAAAATACTTTACACTCACTTTACCTCATGAAAAATGAACACTCACCTTTAGTAATATGTGCATAGCTTGCAAAACAGCATCTTGCAGTGGTGTCAATACAACTTCAGTTAAGGAAGGTAAAATAAATGGTGATGTTTCACCATGCACAGGCACAGCAACAGCATTTTGCAAAACAGTAGCTAATTTTTGAAAATCTGCTGAAACAAATCTAAAAAAAAGTGTCCTTGTTAAACTCTTGTAAATAGTTCCTAAATCACAGACACAATGTTGCAAACTTCATACAACAAAACTCTTAAAAATGAAAGCTATTATTATTAATGTACACAACCATTCTCACATAAACAAATAATACACTAAACAATAATAAAACACCTCCTCGGTAGCACTTTTTGGATGCATTGTATGAAAAATATTACCTCAAATTTTTAACTTACAGAATTACCAATTTTAATTTTTAATGCAACCGAATTTTATATAATTAAAGACATTAAAATAAATACATAAAAAATTATCTATAAACTACAGTTAAATGAAAAAATTTTCTGAATTAAAAAAAAGTATCACATCTGACATTAAAAGCAAAATACTATTTAATATCCATTATATGCAAAACTTTTACTACCTAAAACAGAAATAAATGAACAGAAGGGATGATAATTATAACAACCTCAGCTGTACAGCAAGAATGAAGAGAAAGGAACAAAAAACATTAAGAAATAAGACATTTAAATATTTTTGGAAGTACATGATGAGAACTATAACTTTTGATGAATGCAGAAAACAAAATCTAATTCATTCATTAATCCTTTCCGGCACGCTACCTTTTAAAGTTGAAATTTCGATAAAAAAAAAGATAGGCAGTTTAATTAGGCCTAGAGGAGTACACACTTGGGTATATGATATTTACATTATTTACATTTCATATTTACACTTTAGTCTATTTTTCTCATCGTGGTACTTTTCGAAGAAAGTGACACCACCTCTGAAAAAGCACAACCCAATATTGCATGTTTGGCACATGTCCTGGGATCCATATCAGATTCACTATCTGAAAGCAATTTGTCTACCACTTTCAGTGCTTTAGAATTGGTCAGCCCTCTCTGATGCGTTTGGAAAATAATTAAAATTCCGAAAAAAAAATAAACTAATATACATCTACATTTGAAATTATAAACTATAAAATAAAAATATAAATGTCTACAACTCAAAACTATTATATTAAACATAGCACTAAGAAAACTTCTTTGAACCAAAGCAAAAGAGAACTGCTCTAGTGAAAAAAACCAAACAGCTAACTGATAAAATTATCCCTGACCTTCAGAAAATCACCCCAACAATTTCTTACTTGATAACCAAACCTTTCCTCCCCCCCCCAAAAAAAGGGGGGAAGAAGAAAGAGAAAACAGGAAATGAAACACAGATGTGGACCCACCTTTCTACGTTAATGAACTGACCGATGAGCTGTAGAGAAACAAAGATAGAGCTGCCTCTCAGCGAGCCCAGTTTGGGAACACCTTGGTTCATCGTTCGATTTTAGGCAAGATTTCAAGGTAAAAATTTAAAACTAATATAGAATAAAGAGATTAGCATACAGCCAAAAAATAACATAGAAATTTCCTTACAAACAATTCCTTTTATACCCTAAAAAAATCTGGAAGTTTTCTTTGAAAAATGAGGGTATTAAAAAACTAAACATGGGTAAAATATATGGACTGGTTTGCATTGAGCTGCCATCTACTATAAATAAAGAAGGTTCAGATTAACCTATAGTAACCCTCAAATCCTTTTACATTCAATTTTTCTGTGCATACAGTTGGAAATTTTTAGGTGTGCCCAGTACACCATGCCACAAAGGATTTAACAAGTTTTCCAGGTAACTTTAGTTAAAAGAATACTACGTTAAGGAGGTAAAAAAAAAAAATTTAATACACAGTTGATGTGTTAATTTCTACATTCCCCAAAAATGAATTTTTAGTGTAAAACTTCACAACTCTCTTAATCTGATTGACATCACAAAGAATTTCATCAAATGTTCAAAAATGAAACTCTCATGTAAGATTTTTAGACATAACAAATTTTAACAACACATGAGAAAATTATATGGAACTGACTCTCATGCAGAATTCAAGCAATTTTGCTCATCTTTAGAATGCAAGCACATAACATAAATTTTAGCACATTTTATCAGAATTCTAACCATTTTGTAAAACATATTTTGGACCAGTACCTATAACCCCTTCGTGCCGGGTAGTGCAAATGCGCGCTTTGCGGAGGCCGGCAGTGTCTTACGCGAGCGTCTGTCCAGGAGCATCTTTTTTGCTATTAAGCCTAAATCCATGAAATTTCCGAAGTATCAACGCATTGTTTAATAATGCTCTATAGAGTATTTAAATGGCTTATGCTTATATATTAGATATATATATATTAGATATTTTTATATATACTTTAATTACCTTATTTCTTGTTTAAATGCATATTTTACACATTTTATTTTCATTACTCACCTTTTTATGACTTTTAACATTACACATCTGAAAACTAAATATATTACTTAATATTCTTCCTTTCCACAATAATAAACTTTCATCTATTGATATATTCCTCTCAGGGGTGTAAGCGGACTTGAAATTTTCAATTATTTTATTTAAAACTGGTTGAAGCTTTCCGATTTTTTTGTCATCGCTGCTAGTAAAATGTAAACATCTAAGAATTACAACATATCGATCATGACTCATTACGCTATTAAAAAATGGCATTGCAAGCATGGGATTCGTTGAAAGGTACATTTTGATTGTGGATTTCTTTATAATACTCATCAAAATTGTTAGAGCAAAGAAAACAAACATTTCTTCCACTGTAACAGGTAAATACTTCGAAGAAGTTGCTCCAGATTCATCTTCAGGATATTTACTCCTCTGATACAGATTAGTCTCTTCAGTAATTAATTTCATTATTGTATCATCAAAATAATACCTAAAGAAATCAATTTCTTCTTCAACCAAATTATCCACTTTAATTCCAGAAACAGCTTTAAACGGTAATTCCGATAAATTTTCTATTGTGGATGACCATGGAGAAGTACTTGCTTTCGATGTACTCGGCATACAGATGTCTGAAATGTCCTCATCATCATTAGATTCGCCAGATTCTTTATGATCAGAATATATCATAGTATCACTATCACTACTATCAGAATCTGTTTCAGAATCAATATCTGAAATATTTTGCATCATTTCTGCTATTTCATGCTCTTTTAAACATTTTCGACGCTTCGACATTGCAATGGTAAAAAACAGAAAGAATTCACGTCTAACAAGATCTAATTATTTCTAAAAACTGAACTGCAACCAAAATACCAACGCTTTAGCAAAATTAAAACTTCTCTACTTACAATAAACAACTACCACATGCGAATTTAAAGAGACGTCATAAATCACGCCATTTGGAAACATTTATTTCCCCTTTTGTTTATATAATCAAAAACACATGTAAGTGAGGCATGCTTCTCTCATTTCGAGTAGAAGGTCTAATGTACATGTATCTGAAACCATATGGACATACAGTGCCATCTTGTGGCAGATATTATAGTTTTCAAAATGTTCCAGGACACTGGCACAAATACGTGACAGTCGGGGCTGAACAGGAAAACGCTCTGGCACGCCTGCGTGTCGGCCGGGAAGTGAGTGTGTTCGTTGCTGGCATGTAGACGTGAAGTCGGCGCGAAGGGGATAGAAAGTAATTTTAAGAATACTATGATTATTTTAACACAAAAATGCTGCTCAAAATGGCAAAATGACAGCTTTCTTAGAGTTTTAACAACATAATGAATTTCAAATAACTCATTACCCGAGGAAAAGAAAAGATAAAGGTACTCATAACTGATAAGATTATGAAATACCTCAGAAATAAGTTCAATCACTATATAATAAGAAGTAAGTCTTTTTTGAGATAAAATACTGTGAAGATATCATTGACATATTGATACCCAAATAGGAGAAGAGTTTTTCTCCACAGCAATTTGCTCCCTCCCACTTCTTTCAAGTTCCTTAAATAATGTGGTCACTTTACACACATCAGCAAAATTAGGGCAGGCATTTGTGTATGTGTATAATATATATGTATGTGTGTGTTTCCTATAGTTAATCCTTTTATTTGAAAACAGCAACTGTTTTTTGGGGGGAAGGGGGGAATACAAATCTTATTTTAAGGAAGTTTAGCAAAAGGAACTAATTCTTCAGTTTTAATATATGGACTTTTCAAAATTTAATTTCAAATTACTTTAATGCTCCCTGAAATAAATTTTAGCAACAATTATTCTCCAGCAAAACATAACTGAATGGTACTTTTCAATTTACTGACAAATTGAAATGCATTTTTAATGTGATATAAAGTAACAGAGAAAATTTGACTAATATTTATCTTATAATACAATGCAGTTCATGAATTAGAAACAATGGGATGAAATGGAGTGACAAAATTTTTCAAATTTGGTATTTAAAATAGCTACATTTTTGAAAACTACATATTATATTTATAAGCAATAAATGTATTCTTGAAATTATGCTAAATGGAATGAGAATACGCTCATTATGAAGATGAGCTCTTATTATGAAGGAATCTAATATGAATTCATGTTCTCACATGTTGCATAAAAGTTCTGGATCAAGAAGTCGTTTTGCTGCAACATTCCCAAGGTAAGAAGAGAGCTCTGCAAGGAAGAGTTGAGAGAGTACAAAATTTGGCTTACTGATTACAGAAAAGGTAGCCTATTTGTTGGTAGGGCCATATTATTAAAGTAAAATACAGGAAGGATATGTATTTTGAAGTCTGATTTGGTAGCATAAGAAAACCCATGCTAGGTTATCATGAGCAACATGTACGAAGACAAATCTGATGAAACTTCATCCCACTTAGTGAACTCTTTACTGATTAAAAATTCTACTGGCTTTGACTTGTAAAAACTAGATACACTAGAATCCTACTGAAGGATCCTACTGAAAAAGGCCAAAGCAGAAACAGAACAGTCCACCTTTCAACATTTTTTTAGTCTCCAGAGATATGAAAGTGGCCATTACATCATCAAATTACCTTGGTTACAGATGTATGGGACTTTGAACGAGAAAAAGCTATAGACAAAGAAAGATGCATAACTACTACTCAATACTCTATTATGCTGTATATAAGTAAAGGCTACAGGAAAATATCACT